ACACACACACACACACACACACATACACACACACACACGTGTGTGTGTGTGTGTGTGTGTATATGATATGTATATGATATATATGATATATATATAACCTGAAAAGGCCTCAGAAGCCTCACATGTATCCTTTTACTAGGGGGTAGAGAGCTCTGTGCAGAGAAGCAGAACCTAAACAGATCTTACCAGTCCCCTGGCTTATCAGCCACACCTTTGCTGGGCTTGCGGCTAGTCTCAGGAGTGGGGTGGATTGTCTTGGCCCCAGAAGCACTGGGCTTTGGGGAGCTCCAAGGGCTGAGCAGGGCCTCTTGACCTGAGTTTTTTCCCTTCCTAGCTTCTAGATGTTGATCCCAATGACCAAGAGGAGGATGGTGCCAATATTGACCTGGATTCCCAGAGGAAGGGTAAATGTGCAGTGATCAAAACCTCTACCCGACAGGTGAGGCCAGCTCAATGCTAGGAGAACTGAGGAGGGTGAGGAGTGGATGTGGGACAGGACTAGGGAGTGTTCTTGAGGGCAGTAACAGACTGCACCTGGAATTTTTCATACAGACATACTTCCTGCCTGTCATTGGGTTGGTGGATGCTGAAAAGCTAAAGCCCGGAGACTTGGTGGTGAGTGGTGTCCCTGAGCCCAGGCAGGACTTTTCCAGTGAGGTTTCTCCCACTGGCTAGCTGAGCCTCTGCCCCAGACCCAGTTCAGTGTTGGCCCTAAATCTCAGCAGAACAGCCCAGAGAGTCCGAGCTTATCTGCTTGCTCTTCAGTTCTTGTCTTTCCTAGTCCTGTTTTGTTTTTTTTTTTTCACTCTACAGACACCTATCACCCAGCCAGTTAGTTAGGCCTTGAGCTGGGACAAATCTGAAGGCTTTGTGCTCTGTCCCTAGGGTGTGAACAAAGACTCCTATCTGATCCTGGAGACCCTGCCTACAGAGTATGACTCACGGGTGAAGGCCATGGAGGTGGATGAGAGGCCCACAGAACAATACAGTGACATTGGGGGCCTGGACAAACAGATTCAGGAGGTGAGGGAGGCACCGGCTGCCACTAGTAGCCTTGCCAGCCTTTTGTTTTTCTGATTCATTGATCAGAGCACTTAGTGCCAGAGTGCCTCCTATCTTCCATCCTACGGTGGTAAGAGGGTGCCCTATGACAGTTTAGGAGGCTGAGGTCCAGAGAGATTAAATGACTTGTTGAGGGCCACAGGAAGGTTAGGGCCAGAGCCAGGACTGGAACTCAGGCTCCTGGTTCTTGTCCCAGTGCTTTTCTACCATATCCTGCTATTTCTGGAGTGACCATAGCCAGCCCTGGTGGGAGTGAGCATTCTGCATCTGTTTTTTTAAGTTAGTTTATATATATATATAAACTTGAACTCACAAACCATGAGGTCATGACCTGATCTCAAGAGCTGGCCACTGAGCTGAGCCACCCAGGCACCCTGATTCTGCATCCTTTTGATGCAGGGAAGAAGAGAGCAATGTCTCTGAATAGGAGGAGTAGGAGGGTTGCAGGTTGGGGTTGAAGTCATTAAGTGTTAGGCTCGGAGCCCTCAGGGCTTCACTCTCCTCACCCAGGACTTCTTCCTGGCAGCTGGTGGAGGCCATTGTCCTGCCAATGAACCACAAGGAGAAGTTTGAGAACTTGGGGATCCAGCCTCCAAAAGGGGTGTTGATGTATGGACCTCCAGGTACGGGGAAGACCCTGCTGGCCCGGGCCTGTGCTGCACAGACCAAGGTGAGTGCTTTGGGAGGGATGAGGAAGAAAGGGGCAGAAGCTAAAGCGTTACCAAAGGGACTCAAGAGGAACCTCTCTTGGTGCCTTTGGCCTGATATGGATCACCGTGCCGCCTCATCAGGCTACCTTCCTGAAGCTGGCTGGCCCACAGCTGGTGCAGATGTTCATTGGGGATGGTGCCAAGCTGGTCCGCGATGCCTTTGCCCTGGCTAAGGAGAAAGCTCCGTCCATTATCTTCATTGATGAGCTGGATGCCATCGGCACTAAGCGGTAGGGGGATGCTGAGTGCCTCCAAGGAGATTGTTCTAAATCCTGTTTCCCTTGCTGTCCCATTCTTCCCCTGGAGCAGTGGCAGCTCTCCTCTCGTGGTTTTGCTTCCTGAATTCTCTTCTAACTGGCTTCCCTGCTGCTTTTCTCCTGACCATCTATTCTCCTCACGGCTGCCAGCATGGTCCTTTTGTACCTGCTTGCTTCACTCCCATGCACCCCATCCCTCACACAAACATCTTACTTAAAATCCTCCATGGGCCCTGCATTGCTGCTTGGGATAAATGCTGGACTTAACCAGTCCCCTGTGTGGCTGTCCCTGCTCCTCTCCACCTCATCCTGGACCTGCCTCCGCCCCCACCGCTTCACAGCATCCTTCGGGTTTATAGGCCTGCTCCAGCTCTGTGCTGAGAGAGATTTTGCACTTACTGTTCCCTCTGTGGAATGTACTTTTCCCCTGGTGTGTTTTCAGCCTGAGGGATACTTCCTCAAGGATGCCTGCCTGGGTTTTCCCTTATGCTCCACGTCTGGATCCCATATTTCTGAGCTATAAGCCCAGTTTGCAGTGGCACATTCATTGGTGGATAGCCCAGGCAGTGGCTAGTTTTGCTCACTGTTTTATTCTCAGCCTGGCTGATCCTAGGAGCCTCTCCAGTGTCTGACACCTTCCTTGTACCAGTCCTGGCCTGGGGGCCCCCAGTTGAGTGAGACCTTTCTCTGTCCTGGATGGTTGGGTTAGGCTTCCAGTGGGTGGAGGAAGGGAAGGCTGTCCTCGAATTGTGGCCTCACCAGTGTCTCGGGCCTCTTGTGTGCCCCAGCTTTGACAGTGAGAAAGCTGGAGACCGGGAGGTACAGAGGACAATGTTGGAGCTTCTGAACCAACTGGACGGGTTCCAGCCCAACACTCAAGTAAAGGTGAGTATTGTCATCATGGATGGAAGAAAACAGGGTTTAGAGGGCAGGGGACCTTCGCAGTCACATAGCTACTGCAGCTAGAGTTAGAATTGAGAGTTAAATTTTTTTTTTTTTCAACATTTATTTAATTTTTGGGACAGAGAGAGACAGAGCATGAACGGGGGAGGGGCAGAGAGAGAGGGAGACACAGAATCGGAAACAGGCTCCAGGCTCTGAGCCATCAGCCCAGAGCCCGATACAGGGCTCGAACTCACGGACCGCGAGATCGTGACCTGGCTGAAGTCGGACACTTAACCGACTGCGCCACCCAGGCGCCCCTAGAATTGAGATTTAACACACTTGATGTGTGATCTGGACCCTGGGCTATCTCTCTGCCTGTCATGGCCTTGAGTGTTGTCTGTCTTGGAGCCCCATCTTCCTCAGTTCAAGTTGATGCTTCTCCTCTTGCTTAGGTAATTGCAGCCACCAACAGGGTGGACATCTTGGACCCCGCACTTCTCCGCTCAGGCCGTCTGGACCGAAAGATTGAATTTCCGATGCCCAACGAGGAGGCCCGGGCCAGAATCATGCAGATCCACTCCCGCAAGATGAACGTCAGGTGAGCAAGGGCATGAGCAAGGCGCCGAGACCTGAGGGGAGCAACAGAGCGGTCTCTGTGGCCTTCGTACGGTGTTCCCAGGTCTCTACCCGCCCCTTCTCCCCTCCCTGTTCACACACAACTATTCCACGTGCTGGCTTCCATTTCTCCCCGGAAGCCCGAGATAGAATCTTGCTGGGGTCCAGGCCCTGATTCTGGGTGCTCTGCTCCTTACAGTCACCCTGCCTCCTCCTCCCCCATGATCTGAAGGTGCACAGGCTTGAGGCCCTCCCGTTTCCTTGACTCCCCTGCCCCAGCAGACGAGCACAGCTCAGAATAGCTTGAGCACAGCACAGAGTAGCTCAAGGGAATTCAGCCAGGGGCCAGATGGACTTGGATTTAGATCTGTGTGACCTCTAGTAGGTGCTACAATCTGTCTAAGCCTGAGTTTTCCTCTCTTGTACTTGGGGGTAATGGCACTGCCATTCACTTCCTGCCATTCACTTCCTGGCACCTGAGACTGAAAAATGCTGTGCTGATGCAGGGCTGACGCTACTGGAAAGAGAGGGAGATGACCATCCTTTGTCTCTACAACCTCTTGCTCCCTTGCCGCAGTCTGAATCAGTCCCTGGAATCTCAGGGACTGAGAAATCTCAGATTTCTAGAAAGCTAGACCCCCAGAAATAACCTGGTCTCTGCTTTGACCTACCCTCTTTCCTCCTGTATCTTGTACTGAGAGGAGAACAAGGCATATTGGGGAAGGGACTTGTCGACGTCACCAGGCGAGTGGGCCTTGCTGCCTGATGGGGAGCGTGGGAGGACATCTCCCACCCCTCGCCATAAGTAACTCAGTCCTGTGGAATCTCTCCTCCACCCCCACACCCAGTCCTGACGTGAACTATGAGGAGCTGGCCCGCTGTACGGATGACTTCAATGGGGCCCAGTGCAAGGCCGTGTGTGTGGAGGCGGTGAGTGCTGGGGTGCGGGAGTGGGTTACTTTGAGCCTTCTTGCCCCCTTCCCTGAACAGGATGGGGCGTTTGACTGGTGGAGACCGCTGGGGGGAAGAGGCTCAGAGGGCTGAGGCCTCTCAGAGCCGGGCCAGGGGTGTGGGAAGGCACCCTTAGAGCCTATGTGTCCTGGGTGCAGGGCATGATCGCGCTGCGCAGGGGCGCCACAGAGCTCACCCACGAGGACTACATGGAGGGCATCCTGGAGGTGCAGGCCAAGAAGAAAGCCAACCTGCAGTACTACGCCTAGGGGGCTGCCTGCCGCACCTGCTCCCTGGTCTCACGCTCGTTACAGTTCATAATAAAGGAAGGCTTCAGGTCCCGGGCACCTGTCTGTTTTCCCTTCCCGGGCTCTGGGTAGAACGGTGGAGCGTGTGCTCAAGGCTCCTTCCCCACGTGCTGCTGCCTGGAAACCCAAGACCGCCGTGGGCCTCACACCAGTTGTGAGGCAAGGCCCTCCGGGAAGGATAGCCTCGTGCTACACCTGCTGCGTGGGGTCTTCTGGCCCCCCCACCCCCCACTGTGTCCCTCCAGATCCTGTTCCCATTCCCTGCCCCACCTGTCAGCTCTAGAGGTTGGTGCCTTGCAGCTCCAGGACAAAGGTCCTGAACAGAAGCCAGCCTTTCCCCTTTTACATTTTTTACATTTTGGTGCTCTCATCCCTACTCCCAGGTAAAGCCAGGCTCTAGGTGTTTCTCCTTGAAAGTCCTCCCCTGCTTCCTGGCCCCTGAGCCTTCTGTTCCTCCACATGTTCCCATTAGCTCTTTTGGCCCATTTTTCTCTTGCTGAAAAATGAACCTTGAGCAAGAGCAGTGAGAGTCCTTCTAGGCCTAACCTCTGGTTCTGGTGTGTTCTCCCCCAGTCCTCAGTTCTGCCGTCAGCCCCGCTCCCCATCAGGCCCCTGTCCTGTTTCCTTTAGGATCTCGTTGGTCCTCTCCTGTTCACTCACCTTCCAGCTCCCCCACATCGTAGCTGGCCTGGTGTGGTTCGCTGAGGGCTTGTTTTGGGTCCCGTGCCGAGCAGGTCTTGTGCATGGTTTGATGCAGTTATCTTAGCATCCACGAATGGGATAGTCCCCTTTCATAGATGTGTTTACGCACCTGGGCCAGGGTTGCTCTTAGGTGGTAGCATAGCTGGGATTGGAACCCAGGACAGCAAAGCCCTTCTTTCCGCTCTGCTCTTAGCAGTTTTGCTGGGCCCCAGAATGCCTTTCCGAATAAGAGCCCCTCAGAACTCTTGTCAGCTCTTGCCCTCTAGCAAAAGCCCCTACATGCACCTTTTCCCTGTACTCTCCCCTGGTGGGGGTTGGGGGAGGCCTACCACAGTGGGCTACTGACTGAGCTGGCCTATCTGAAGGGCTTGGCTTCCTGCTAGCTTCCTCACCCTGGCATCCCAAGGCTTCCACACTGCCTTCTAGAGTGCTGATGCTCCCAGTGGCAATCCCCTTGACTTCTACCTCCGGCCTGAGGTGCTCCCAGTACAGCCTCTGAGAGCTTCTGGTTTCTGTCCCCTGTCCTGGATTTGGCTTCTGCTCTCTCTGTCCCTTCTAGCCAGTCACGACATTCACCCTGTGGCACTGTAGTGAACCCACAGGCACCCCCTCCCACCCCACCTGCTTCTTCATCTATAAATGAGGCCCAGCTGCCTCTCTGGGCAGGCTGAGTGCAGTGATTGAATGTGCACCTGCCACCCGCAGGTATAGGAGCCCCGGTGCTGCCGAGGAGAGGATGGGGGCTGGTCAAACAGCTCTGGATTCGCTTCCAGGCCTGGGCTTCCCAGGCCCTGGATGTGTCACAGCCAGGTGGGGCAGCTCCCTTTTTGCTGACAGAGCTACTGGGTCAGCCAGGCACTCCCGGCTGAGGTTGCCACGAATTTGGGCTTCCCAGCCCCCGTACTGGACTCCACGATGGCACAGGCACCACTGCTCTCAGCCAACGGGCTACTGGAGGTTGTCCTGCTTGGTGTGGAGAGGAGAGGGGACTCCATTTCCCCTCTTCTTTCTTGGGCTAGCACTGAGGGGAAGGAGCACCCCCCCGGTGCCTGATGCTGTCCTTACATTCAGACATTCAGAGGAAGTGAGGATGTGTGGTTTAGAGTAAGGATCCCCTAGTTTTTCTTTTCTAATTTCATGGAAGCAAAGCTGGAGGTGACTGTGTGGATGGACCTCCCTTTAGTTAATTTGCTCAAGGAACAGGCCAGGGAAAAGCCCCTAGCTCTGTAAAACGAGGACAGCCACCCTTGGGGACGACGTTGGCTACAATGGCATACTGCCAGGCTTCTAGTGTTGGGATGAAAAGCTAACGAGCCAGGGATAGCATGAGAGGCTATACCCTGTTCTAAGAAGCACTGCAGAGTAATAGTTCAGAGATGAACATGAAGCAGAAGAGCTGAAGGTGAGGGGAGAAGGGATAAGATGCTGAGCTGGGACCCACACAGCCACCAACCTGGCTGGAGCAAGGGACTCCTGGGAAAGCCCTGCTTGACCATGGACTCTGGTGTGCAGAGGAGAGACAACCAGTTTGTATATAATTATTTATTTGCATCTTATCTATAGAATATTTACAGATAGAAACGGAACCACAGCAAAACTGCTGTAAAACCATTCAGACCCTCTTGACGGCTGCTTCTCAGAACGTCCACGGTTGAGCAGCAGGGCTGAGCCCGGCTGTGGAGTGGGCCAGCTGAGTACCTGGGTGTCAGCCAAGGGAAATAGCTGGGGATTATGGCTTCAGCATTCTCCCAGAGCACATTCCTGAGTGCTGACAACGTGGAGCCCTCACCACCCCCAGCTCCCCCTCAGCCTACGTGGGACAGGAAAAAGGGGCCTGGAGCCGGGGGGCAGCTGTGGCACACTCTTCCTGCCCCCAGGATCTCTGCCTGGATCCTGTGCTGGCGTGAGCATCCCTGAGCTGGCCTCAGAGGCCTCTCTGGCCCAGGGCTGCTCCCTGCCCCGCAGGCTGCTGTTTGGCAGCTGGAGGTGGCAAAAGCCGCCGGCGCTGCCAGGGAGCGTTCACGGGAGCCGGCCTAGGGCTGGCAGCCACGAGGAAAAGGTCTTGGAAAGCATCTGCCAGGCTCCATCCTGGGCTGGGTAGGGCTGTCAGTGCTGAGTGGGGTGAGGGGCTACACAAGCACCTGCCTCTCCTTTCTTTGGCCTTAGAGCTGGCAAAGGAAGGGCCGGGACAATGGACACGGCAGAGAGAAGGTGCCCCAGCCTCAGCCCCTCGGCTGCCCAGGGCTTGGTGCCCGAGCAGAGGTCAGGGACCCCAAGGCCCCAGAAGGAGACAGCTTTGGGCCCCCTGAGCTCCCTGGGGAGCAGCCTCTCCCCCTGCAGTCTTGTGGGGAGAGGCCTCCACCTGGGACCAGTGCTGCTCGTCCTCACTGCTCACTGTGAGAAGTGCAGGGTGACAGGGTGGTCAGGAGAGAAGACCACGGCGTGGCTGGGGGCCGGCGCGGGCATCGGGCCCTGGGCCCAGCGTATGGTCACAGTGTCGGTCTCACACATAACTGGTCACACGTGTACATGTACACACACGCACGCATGCACACACACACACCATCCTCTCAACTGGTCAGAGGTGTGCTCTCTCAGGCACTCGCCCTCTGCCTCACACACGGTCACAGAGTGAATCTGAGTCTCTTATTGCAGTGTGGGGGGCATCAGGGACCGTCAATCCACGAAAAGCGAGAACAGCACCATCACCACGATGCCTGTGCAGAGCAGCAGCACTTGCTGCAGGGAGCGCCTGTGGGGAGAGGGATGGGGCTCAGGGGGCGGGGCGGCCACTGGCTGATGAAGGGGCAGAGCCCAGAAGCCCTTCCCCCTCGAGCTCCCATGAACCCTGTGAGTGGCGGTGGGGAGGATCACTCACCATGGGTCATCTTCCTCCAAGAGGTCCGGCAGCACGTTCACCAGGGCGATATAGAGAAAGCCACCAGAGGTGAAGGGCAGGATCCAGGCCACGGTCTCCTCTGCAGTGGGAGAAGTCCCGACTGGCTAGGAGCCTAGGGGAGCCACGTGCACCGCACCCACTCCCACAGGGTAGACCGGGCAGATCCTGGCCTGCACACTGGGGCGGGGCAGCTGTGCCCTCTGGCTGGGGCCCCTCCACTGACCGCCACCTGCCACCCCCACCCACCATGCCCGTACCTACTCCCTTGGGGGACTGCGTACAGATGGCGAAGCAGGCGCCCAGCAGGCCCCCCAGTGCCGTCGAGAGCTGCAGCTTGGCTGCGCTCCATCGGTCAAAGCCGGCCCGGAGCAGAATGGCAAAGTCGCCCACCTGAGGGGAGGTCCAGATGATCACTCTGGGCCCCAGGGGTCAGGTACGGACATGCACACTGAGCCCCCTGCACCGGCCTTGCTGCTGGGCCCCCCGCCAAGCCCACATCCCCTAGGCTGGGACCCCAGTCCCCAGGAGGCTGGAGCACAGCTGAGATGGAAGCTGCAGCCTGGTGGGCTGAGAGCTCCAGGCCTCCGGAGCCCAGCCCCCAAGGCTGCTACTGCTGGGCTTCCTACCCCCACCCCCTCTCTGAAGCCCCACGTCCCCACTGCCGCCATGGAGACCCTCTGGCACACACCTCATGGGGGATCTCGTGCAGAAGGATGGCCATGGTGGTCAGGAGCCCAATCTGCAGGGAAGGAGTCTGTGGGGTTCTGGGCCGAGGGCCAGGCACCCACTTGTCCACTCATTCTACAAATATTTACTCTGCTGAGTGCTCTGGCCGGACACCATTTGGCTACTAGAAATACAGCAGTGAATACAACACACAAGGAACCTGCCTTCACGAAGCAGGAGGCAAGGACTGAATGAACACACAAAGAACTGCATGATTACAGTGATAAGTACTGCAGGAGAAGAGATGGACTGGGTGTCATAGACACAAGTGACAGGGGCCTAATTTAGATGAGGGGTCAGCAAAGGCCTCTTTGAGGAAATGCATTTAAGTCGAAGCCTGAAGGATAAGGAGCCAGTGTTTCAAAGAGTGGGAGGAAGAACATTCCAGGCAGACGGGGTAGTGTGAGGTGGAGGCCATGAGCGGGGAAAGAGCTCGGCCAGTTCAAGAGTAGGCGGACCACTAATGTCAGAGCTCAGAGGACAGAGTGCAGAAGTGGGTGAGAAGCATCTAGAAGCAGGCAGGGCCCAAGCCTAGCAGCCTGGCAGAGGTATGTGATCCCAAAAAGGAGTGTTTGGCTTGGGACAGAAGGCGGGCTCATGCAGGAGCCCTTGGGGCTTAGATGGGGGTGTGGATGGTGGAGGGAGCGGGAAGGACAGAAACTGGAAGCTTATTTTGGAGGCAGAACCACCTGGTTTACATAGGCACCATCATTCCCCCCAGAAATGCCTGGATCCCCACTGTCGCAGCCGCCACTCACCTTCTTGCTCACAAGGAAGCTGGCAGCTACAGCCAGCCCATGAGTGAAGTTGTCTATGGTGTTGGCCAGCAGGTTGAGATAGCCACTGACCTGCATGAGGGGAGAGGAAGCCAGGCTGACCTGGGTGGGCAGGGCTCAGCTGGGCCTGCCACTTGTGGGGAGGAACAGCTGCAGGGAGAGGGGACCCTGAGCGGGCCACTCACTTTGATGGTCCGGACCACGGCGCTCACGCCGGGCTCTGCAGCCGGCTGGGCCAGATAGCGGCCTCCATTGAGCGCGGCAGCAGCGGCAGGGTCTTTGCTGGGGGCCTAGGGCCAGGAGAAGGAGGGAGAGGTGACATTAGATGCTCCCCCACTTGGCCAGGGTAGACACAGGAAAGGAGCAAGAGATGGAGAAACAGAGGCAGGGAGACCCTGGCCCCTTTTGTCTAGCTAGACTTCTCTGCTGCTCAATAAGCCGCGTGTACCCAGACCCAACTGATCCTGTGCCTCCCACACGGCTGCCGCCATCAGTCTATGAGAACAAGCCAGAGCAGGGCCAGTGTCGTCACTCCCCAGATCTTCCCAGTTGGCCCAGCCTCCCAGAGCCCCCGGGGAATGGCCAAGAGACCCACTTTTCAGGGTTCAATTCAGAACCTGGGCCTGCAGGCCCTCAACCACCACAGAGTAGAGGCCAGCTTGTCCGGACCCTGGGATGTGGAGCTCACCTGGCTGGTCCCCTCCTTCTCCTTGCTGTCCAGGAACATCTTCTCCAATGCCAGAAAGGTCAGGAAGCCAGCAATGACCCACAGTCCCAGTTGCTGTTGCTGCTGCAGGCTCTGCCCCTCACCACCTGCAGGGGGCAGCACTGACAGGCCAGGCCAAGCCAGGGCCACAGAAGGGGGGCCATTTGGAATGGGATCTAGTCAGGGGCAGTGACAGGGGAAGGGGGACAGGAATGGCTGGTGGGAAAGCTGGGCCCCAGGGATTCCCACAGGGGCCAGGGTATCGGGGCCAGGGCACGTTCGCTGCCAGACGCCCAGAACCCCTCTCCCAGTCATTCTGGCAGAGCAGGTAGGGCCTAGGCCAACCTTAGGCATGGGCACCAGCTCCCTCTGCCCTCCTGCCCAACTGCAGCCTCACTCACCAGGGCTGGCACTGCATGTGTAGGCCCACGCCTCAGGCAGCAGGTGGAGAAACACATTGCCCAAAAGTCCCCCCAAGGCAAAGCTGAGCAGCTGTTTCAGACGTCTGGCCCCAGCTACAAAAGAGATTCGGGGCCTGGGGCTGATCTACCAGAACCGCTGGCCCGACCTCTGCCCCACCCAGCTTACTGGGCGCTATGTTTTTCCAACCAGACTGCAAGCCTCCAGAAGGCTGGACTTGGCCTCCTGCCCTTCCTGGAGCACCGACCCCACCCCCCCACCCCCACCCCCAGGCCCAGCACTGGCTGGGTGCTCAACAGGAAATACATCACGACCTGCTGGATGACTGTGGAGCACTAACTAGTGCTTCACAGTTAGGAGACTGGGCTTGGGAGTCCGAAAGGTCCCAGCTCCCCAACCCACAAGCTGGTGACCTTGGGCAGGTAACTTCTGGGATTCGTTTTCCCATCTGTAAACTGGGGATAATTATGTCTGATAGGGATCTTGGGGCAATTAAATTGCAATACATATAGCAAGTGCTCTTCAAGTGGGAATTTTTCTTTTCACAGCCACGGTCACTCTTGGAAAAGTGGCAGAGATTTGGGGACTTTTGCAGACTTGCAGCATCCAGAGTTGGAAGTGCCCTAAGAAGACTATGTCCAAACTCTTGGTTTGTAGAGAAACAGGCCCAGAGGGCAGAGGCAGCTTGGTGATTGGGTGGAATCCCAGGAAAAGCTGCCGCTTCCAGGCTGTGTGACCTCAGCCTGATCAAAGGACCCCTCTGTGCCTGTGCTTCCCCATTTGTGAAACGGGCTAATAATCCAAGTCCTCCCTATGCTGACTCACCGGGACATGGTAAGAGGGGCTGAGAGGATGCACGGGCACAGGCATGACAGCAGGGCCCCACATCGGCCCCATTCACAGCTGCGGCACCAGCCGTCAGCCTGGCGCAGGGCATAGATGTGCTCATAACCATCTGCTGAATGAACAGCTCCTGAGCCTCGCAAGCGGCAGAAACCCCTGGAGCAGGCATTTCAAACAGATTCCAGGAGTCTGGTCCAGACCTAGCATGTTGCATTCCTGGGTGAGGCAGCAGGCACCTAGTTTTAGCAGCTACCCATCTAGTCTCTTTGGTTTTCATCACAACATGTCATTTGTGGACAGTACATGTATCTGGCACAAAAGGGCAGCTTCTGCCCATGCCGGTGCCCTGCCTCCCAGATCCCCTCCCCAGAGGCAGGCTGGCTACCTGGGTAAGGCTGACCCAGGGGCCCTTGGTAGGAGGGTCTTTTGCACTATGAGCAGAGACTGAAGGGCAAGGCACCGCATCCCTGTAGCCGTCACAGGGCCTGTGAACACGCTGCCCTTTCCCCTGCACCAGGCAGCCTTCTAAGTGCTTCTACCAATATTAGTTTATTTCATCTTCACAGCAGTACCTATGAAGTACATACTAGGATTATGCCCATTCTTAAAAACTATTCTTCAAGTTTATTTATTTTGAGAGAGAGACAGAATGAGCAGAGGAGGGGCAGAGACAGAGGCAGGGAGAGACTCCCAAGCAGGCTCCACACTGTCAGCACAGAGCCCGATGCAGGCTTGAATCCATGATCCATGAGATCATGACCTGAGCTGGAACCAAGAGTCGGATGCTTCACTGACTGAGCCACCCAGGTGCCCCGTATTATGCCCCTTTTTAAGGTTGGGAGCCTGAGCCTCAAGCAACTTGCCCGATGCCAGCCAGCTGGAAAGTGGCAGGGCCAGGGGTTGAACCCAAGCATCCTGGCACTCATATTTCCAACCAGTGTCTATACTGTTTCTTGGTGAACGTCTGCTGACTTTGATTCTTTCGGAACAAACAAAGGATGAACGAAGGAAAGAGCATGGCACACCCTGGTCTCACAGGACCAAAGTGAGAAGTTACATGTGTCCCCGCCCTCCACCTCAGACACACTGAAACCTGGGACGTGAGGCCCCACTCTACCAGGGAGAGCAGCGATGTTTTCCACGCTGCTGGCTGCCCTGGGCACCAGAGGAGGGTCACCTACCTTCTGAGCGCAGCGTAGTCCCCATCTCCAGGGGAATCACGAGCAGTGGGAAGACCCCACTGAGCCCCACCATGAGTGAGCCCAGGAGGGAGCAGATCCAGGTGTCCAGCCTCTCCCCACTCAGCAGGGCCCCCCAGGATTCGCTTTCTTTGTTGTCTAGACGACAGGCCGCGGCAGGCCCCCGGCTCCTCAGGGCCTGCTGGGAACCCCCAGCCCCTCCCAGGAGCTCTAGGACAAGAGCAGTGAAGAAGAGGAGCCTCTGGCCCGCCATGCCACAGCCAGGGCAGGGACATCCAGGCATGCCACGTGCTGAAAAACACAAAGGCCTCTTACGTGAGCTGCCACCCTTGGCCGCACACCTGCTTAGCAAACGTGGCATCTTAACCCTCCTCCCTACAAGCGGCCATGGCATCCACTCTCCTGCTTGCCTTGCCCAGGGCTTCTGATCCTAGTGATGGGTTCACAGAATAAAGGGGCTCTACTCTTCTACACCCCACTCCCAAGGACCACACATTGTTTCCTTCTGAGCCAGCTCCAGACTGTGTGTCAGCACGTCTGCCTGGGGCTAAACTTTCCCTAATGACGGGGTGAGGCGCTGGCTGGGCTCCCTTCAGCCACCGGCAGGCCCAGCCCAGTCGGGTGTCTCTAGCTGCCAGGGGAGGCCCCGCCGCCAGGACATGCCCCAGTGAGGACGCCCCAGGGGACTGAGGCTGGCACTGTCTAGCTTGATGGGCGACACTGGGAGGCGCAGGTGGGGAAAGCGAGCAGCTGAGCTAGGGCAGAACCGTCAAGAGCTTCTCCCTAAGCAACGAGCCCACTGTCCCCAGGGCACAGAGACAGACAGGACGTAGGGCTGAAGAGAAAGATCCTTCAGTTAGGAACTGCCTCACAGCTGTGCAGGGCACACGCTTCGGAGACCTGCCCTAAACTTTGTGCTCTGCAGCTATGGCTTTTTGAGTGTAGGCAAAGTCCCTGCAGCACCTGAGCCTCAGTTTCCTCCTCTGTAGGATAACAGAACTGCCTCCCGCACAGGCTGCGAAGGCCACGAGCTTGCTGATGCAGGTGAACTGTGCCCGGCAGGGAGAGCCCTCCTTATATTGCAGGAGACCTGGGGCACCGGGCAGCAGGAAGGTTCCCAGCCTCTGGATCACAGGATGTGGATGTGAGTCAACTAAGAGAGAAGTTCAATCTGGAAACTCAGACATGAGGTTTAAATGCGGTCTGCCCTGCCTCATCTGGCCGTGACCTTGAGCTGGCGATGTCCCTGCCTCAGTTTCCTCATCCCCTGATGGCGGTGGGAGGCTGAAAAAGATGCCCGCGTCCAGGACCTCCACAGGCCCTCACGAGAGACTGAGGAAACCCGCTGGGCTCCACGGGGTCCAAAGGCAGGACTGGGCCGGGCCGGACTTGAGGCCAAGGCAGGGCACGCAGAGGTGAGGGGACCACAGTCTGGGCAGAGGGGAAGCGGAGGACGGAGAGCCAGAGAGCAGAGGGAAAGGAGAAAGCAAGAGAAAGTCAGGAGAGAGCCAGAGAGACTGGGAGACGGACACGGAGGAGGAAAGCGAGGGAGCGATGGGCAGCGAGGGAGCGATGGGCAGCGACGTGCAGGGCGACAGGGGAGAAGAGAAGCCCTAGGAAGTTGAATTCCCGGGCTCTGCGCCAGAGGCCCGGGTCTGCCCGGGAGCGGCAGGGCCGGGGTCGGGGTGGGGGGGGGATCGGCCGAGGCGTCCCGCCCGGGGCGCGGGCCCCGAGGGTCGGGCGGTCACTCACCGTGCGGCAGCGGCGGCGGCGGCGCTCCGGGCGGCCCCAGCCATCCAGCTGCGGCGCCGCGCCCCGCCCCGGGTCTGCCCCGCCCGGTCCGCCGCCCGGCCCCCAGCCCGGAGCCGCCCCCGGAGCGCGGCCACGTCACACGGGACCTGTCCGGAACCCGACGCGCGGCGCGCCGCAGGGTCGAGGGGAGCGGCGGTCGAGGCGCGCTTCCGCCTCGCGGCTGTGGGGGACCCGGGAGGCCCAGGCGCACTTCCGCCCGGGAGGATCGGGGGCGGAGGGGAGGGCCCGGCGGAAGTGGGAGCCCCAGGAGCGAGGCGCTCAGCCCCTGCTGGGCGGGGCGGAGAGGGCGGCCCCGCCGGGACCGCGAGCCGCTGGGTGGCTGGGCTTGCGGCTCCGGCCGCCGCTTCCTCTCTCGGGCTGCAGTGTCGCCCACGGCCGCACGAGGGCGCGCTCCGCTGCCAGCCCTCGCAGCCCGGAGCCCGGAGCCCGGAGCCCGGAGCCCGGCCGGGGTCGGGGTGGGTGCCTGGCTTGGGCGCTCCTGCTGTGAGTCAAACCGGCCTGGCTCCTCCATGAACAAGGGAAAGGGGAAGTGCCCGCCGCAGGGAGGGGCCTAGCCTCGGGAACCTCAGAAGAGGGAATTTTATTCTTACTCATCGAATTATTTTTATGCTTTGGTTTTTCACTGGGAACCTCAGGCCTTTGTCTCCAGGGCTTGTAACCCTTTGGGGTCCAATGCGTGGTGGCTTGACACTATTGCTTGGAACCCCAAACCTGGGGTAGCTCCCTTTTGTGCTTGCCTCACCTGGAGGAAGGTAGGCCTAACCTCAGACTAGGGCAGCAAACAATAAATAGCATTATTATATCTACAATTTACTGGACACTGTTGCGTGCCATTCACTCCATCTGCATTATCTCACTGAATCCTCATTCTGCCCCCACTGAGGTGGGTACTGTTAGCCCCGGGGTCACGCAGTGGCACAGATGGCAGAGCCAGGTTTCCCCCTGGGTGTCCCTGAGCCCAGAGCATGTGACAGCACCTCTCACTTCCAGGGAGGTGGGAGTCTAGCTTGGAGGTTCCACATTGCATCTTTTGCTGGGACTTCAGCCAAGACTGTATAATATTCAGGATGGGGCACGTGGATACCCACTTGGGCAGAGATTGCGACAGGGTAGGGGTCTCCAAACCTCTGACCCTCATTCATCACCCATGCTGGTTCCCTTCAACTGTCCTGTGTTGCTCTCGCCTACTGGGGGCTCTGAGGGCACATGACTCACATACTGCACCTGATGCCTGTTGACCACACTCCAATGTGTGCTTTTCTTGGACCTCCAGCTCCTTCCAGGTGGGATCAGCTTTCCTCTGAAAGCCCCGTGTCTGTCTCACCACACCAAGCCCATAGGCGAGTTCTGAAGTGGAAGCCCTGGGTTGGTTTTTTTGCAAAGGGAGGAAGACGCTCAGGGATGCTGCTCTGGGATGTCGAAGATGCACCCGCCCCCCCGTATGCAAATCACTTAATCATATGCAAAGCACTTCACAATATACAAATGATTTCACAATAAGACAGTCAAGTTAGCATTCCTGCCTCTGGGGGCTGAGGGCTGCTGGCCCCCAGCAAGAGGGTAAGGCAAGACCCAGCCAGAAACGTCACCTGGCTGCCTTCTCACTGTCCTTTCCTCTCACCTAGCCTGGAATTTCCACCATCAAACTCCCTAATGGAGTAAAGAAGCACACTGGGGGGCTCTAGAAGAGGACCATGAGCAGAGGGGACCAGGTGAAAAGACAGTGTGTGGACTGATGTGTGCTGTTAAAAGCAATGAATTAGATCTGCCAGGGGCTTCCAGGTGAGAAAAGAAAGATGCAGAAATATTTATTTAATATGATCTGCTCTTTTAAAATAATGACAAAAGGAACCCTGTCTAAATATATGTGATTATAGGCATCAGTATATAGAAGACTATGTATAATTGTGAATAATAAAAAATATAGAAGATCAAACATTGAGTGATAACATGGATTTCATGGATGGGTGGGGAGGAAAAATATAAAAGGAAAATTTAAAAGCACGTCAAAACATGAATATGATCACATTTATGCAATTATGTACAAATGTATATACATGTGTACATAAAAATCTCAACTTATTTATTGATTTATTTGATGACCTCATAGCTTTATGGTTAAGACAGCCAGATTCTTGTACCAGACTTCCTGGAGCAAATTACTTGACATCCTATGCCTCAGTTTCCTCATCTGTAAAGTGGATTACTGTGTCAGATTGTTGTCAGGAGTAAATGAGGGAATACACACAGAGCATTTAGAACTATGCCTGGCATACGACAAGTTCTCTTTAAGGCTTAGGTATTATAATTATTTACATGTGTGGATATATGGGTATAAAGAAAATGTTATAGCAATGAACAGATAACTTAAAGACACAAGGTGGGGACCATCTCCTTGCTGAGCACAGATGACGGATGAGTGTTTTCCAACACATTTATCAATCGGTTTGGAGGCCACAGTGACCTCCTGAGTCGTGGCCCTGGGCAGAAAAATTTTAGCAGGGTGGATGGGCCTAGACAGTGCTCAGATATGTGTGGCTGGGAGGCCTCTGACTGGGGGGCTGCAGATCCGTTTTTCTGACCTCACTGGGTCTGACTTTAACACGTCGTTCTTGGCTTTGGTATCTTTAGTGGGGGCCCTTTTCAACAACAAGGTCTCAGCCCTCTATTTCCAGAAGGGAGGACTGCCTCTGGGCCTGGGCCTGCTGACAAGGTGGGGGCTGCAAGACCATCAAGGTCTGGCATTGTCACTGTTCTGACAACCTCCCCTCCTCTGGCTGCACAGGGCTAGACACTCTAGGGTGGGGGTTGATGCACATTTTTTTTTTTTTTTTTTTTTTTTTTTTTTTTTTTTTTTTGCTTCCAGAGGCCTTCTCCTTTTCAGGGCTTTCTTTGGGTCCACAGGCTGGCAGCAACCTCTTGTAGAGAGGCTTCTGAGGCTCAGGGTGGTGAGCTCCTTGCCCGTGAGTACAGCTGTGAAATGAGGCCTGTTACTCTTACAGCGGCTTCAGGCTCAGCCTCTCCCAACTGAATCTGCCCCTCAGGAACCCCTGACCTTAACCCTCTCTCAAGTCACCCTTCTTAGAGCAGCCTCAGCCCCCTAGTGAGTTTCTGGGGTGCTTTACCCCCCAGATCCTGAGCCCTGGCCAGACGAGGCACTAGCAGCTTCATAGCACAACCCTTCCTGGGCAGCCAAGCCTCACTTCTTTCTGTCTGGTCTCTCTGCCTTTATAACCCCCTTTGTAATCGCCATTCCACCCCCCGGGCAGGCCCGGCATATTTCTCCCCTTCTGCCATTTCTGTTGATTGAAATTCAGCCCTTTTACAAGCCTTCCCTGAAGCCTTCTGGATCTGTCCAGGCTGAAGGCCCTCAGTGTTGTGTGTCTTAGGGGTTTTTTTTAGCCCTGTCCCCTGCATGCACAGGCCTTTCCCCCCATTCCATATGGGCTTCTGGAAAGAAAGACAACCTCT